CGTCTGCCCTGAAGGTGAAGGTGTTCCGGGGCATCTCCCGGTGTAGTGCGTCCTTGCCGAGCTTTGTTATTCGAGCGCTGGCGGTCACTGGGTTTAATTAAAAACGCCGCCACCATCCCGGCCTTCAGAGTCTTCATTCTTGCTTCGTGAACTTTAACTCTTGGGGATAGAAGCCCTGCCCGTTTTGTTTTTCTTATTTATACGTGAACTTATCCTTTCATATGACGTTCCGTGGCCTCTGCTCCAGAGAAACTGGCTCGGATTCTTGTTAGGTTAGCAAAGGAATGCTGGGGGCTGCTTCTGCACCTTGCATCTGTATTATGAAATCCAGGAAACCAACCTAAGCTTTGCATTGTCTGTCCTCTCCGTTTCACAGGCGTGCTACTGTGCAAGCTCGAGTAGACACACAGTTTACCTCTTGTGACCAAAAATGTAGATCAAGGCATGTGCCAATATCACATTCTTAAGTTGCTAGCAAAAGTCCTAGCTTAATTAGCCGAAAGCACGTCCATTTCCAGTACAGCAGCTAGTAATCAGAAACCTCTGTCCTAAGCATGTCTTCTTGAGCTTAACACACCAAATTAATTTGGAAGCATTAGGGCATTGTATAACGTATACTGTGTTACTTAGCAAAACAAGTGTCCCATACGGAGGAGCTGTGTACACCTACCTAGCAAGAATACCTTCCACGTGTTGGTTAAGTTATTGCTATCCCTACTTGTAGCTACAGTGATACAAATTTTACTGGTATCAAGTTCTGTTTAATGATGCTTCAAATAATGACTTCTCTGAAGACTTTAGGTGTTCCTGAGAAATTAAAACTACAAAAACACTTTAATCACAAGTTAAAAGTTTGAATGAGTAAGAGAGAAGAACACTAAAGCTACAACACTTGCTAGCCGTTTTCTTTCTGCACTCTCTTACAGGAAGATTAAGAAGCACTGTGCGGAGCCATTTACTGACTACTGGACGTGCATTGACTATACCAACTTGCAGGAGCTCCGTCGATGCCGAAAGCAGCAGGCAGTATTTGATGACTGTGTGCTGGAGAAGTTGGGTTGGGTGAGACCTGATCTGGGACAGCTGTCTAAGGTAACTTCACACCTTTTTGATCGGATAGCCAGATTCTTCTCTCCCTTCTTAGGGGCATTTTGTCCAGACCAGGTCTCAAACCCTTCTCCTGGCCAGAAGGTGATTCATGAACTCAACACTGAAAGCTTGTGGACTTTACTAGAAGTCAAGACTCTGTCAGCGTTCTTCCCAGAAGACTTGCACTCTTCTTAGACAATGCCACTTACTCTTACTTTTTTGCTTTTCCTAGTGCAGAGACCTCTCCTTTAGGAGTGAAGCTCACACACATGTAGATCTACTCTGTAGTTAGGAGTGAAATGCCCCTCCCTTTTTTTTTTTAGAAGTAGTCTGGAGATGGGAGCTCTCATCAGATCAACAATGTGTCCTTAGTGTCGTTTGGTACTTCTTGGTAGTCCTTCCTTTAAGTTCTGACTCAATCTAGCTTTTCTATTAAATGCTGTGAGAAGTCGTATCATTTCTTATTCTTTCTTTCCAGGTTACAAAAGTGAAGACAGACCGTCCTATGCCTGAGAATGCCTATCATTCTAGACCTAGACCAGAGCCAAATCCACCCATTGAAGGAGAGCTGAAGCCTTCTCTGTTTGGCAGTAGGCTCTTTTTCTGGTCCTGGTAAAGCGGGCAGGCTGTGCTGTAACTAAAGTGCAAAGATGTATTGCTTGCAAATGTAAATCGTCCAGTATGCGTTGGGTGTAACTTTAATGATTAAAGAACCCCAGACCGTTACATGGCTTAGTAGACTTCTTTAAGCATACTCACACATCATAGCAACTCAAAAAATGTATTTCTCTGTTTTGCACAGTGCTCTCTGCAGTCGTATAGCCCTTAGGACCATCTTGACGCTCGTGATGTCGGTTGCTTGATAGTGGCTACCAGGCTTGTCCGAGATGTGTACAAATGTAGCCTGAGCCTTTCACTGCTGCTTCACACAATCAAAAACTGATGTGAGACTTTTTGTTTACTTATTGAGAACACTGTTCCTTGGATCAAGGAAACTTTGGGAACAAACAAGCCGTTAATGTCTTCCTTTAGTCTTGGAACTGATAATTGTGCATTTTTTTCCAAAGGACTCCTTCTGCATAGGTTTAACCTAAAATCTCTCTTGGAGCAAGGATTTAGTCTGAATCTGTGGCTTTTGCTAGGTATGAGGTCAGTACTGTTACTGACACAAAGATCCTTGTTCTACCTATCAGCTACTCGTTCCTCATGCAGCTAGGTTAGTGGCTTCCATTTTTTTTGGGGGGGTGGGGGTGGGTGTGGTGGAGCCGGGCAAGGGGGAACACAGGCTACTTCAGAAAAATCACACTAAATTTTCAACACCTTTAAGGAAAAATTATCTCCTAAAGGATCTTCCTGTCCCATCACGCAGTGTAAGAAGGTGGCTTGTCTTCTGCCTCAAGGCTCTGACTTGAGGGGTTTGGGGCAGATCCTTCCCATTGTTTCACTGTGATATTTTTGATAGAAGAGTAAATCAGCTTTCTTAAATTAATCTTTTCTACAATATCTAAAAGTCGTATGTTTCATAGGAAGTAGATCTAGTCTTTCCTCCACTTCCACCCAACAGCAAGAACCTTATTACAAAGGTCAGAAAAAATTAAATGAACTTGTTTTAACAAAGCCACGTGCAGTTTAGCTTGCTCTGTGCCAGATTGTTTAGCTGAACCATAGCAAAGACTTGAATAGTGCTTTTCTCCTTGAGTAGCCTAGCCTTTATTAGGATCTGAAGATTTACCATCTCCTTGTTTGGGGTAGGATTAAACTGTAATGTGTCTGTACCTGCAGCATATGTTTCTGATCCATGGAACTAGAGGGAAAATTGTATAAATTGTATCTAAAAATAGCTCATGCACTGTGTGGCTCATGGGTTCTTGCTGCTTCCTGCTTCGGTGTGTTGACTGAAACTCCAAGCAGGTGCTATGGCATACACGTTTGCATTTTAATGTACCTGTCGTACTGTCTTAGCAGCTCCTTGCCTAAATCTGTGAGATGGTGTGCACCTTCGCAGTTTCTCCTTCTAGATCACCGCCGGCGTTTCAGAGCAGCCACGTATTACTGAAGAAAGATAACCTCTCTTCTGCAGAGATTGAAATTAGGACAAGCTTGAGGTCTAATTACATTCAGCTGAGTGAGTGCAATGAGGTTTGGCCAAGTAGAGGATAAATTGTTCTGGGATGTTAACACGTGTCACATCTGATCTTTTGTTGCTGACCCACTCCAATAGTTAGGCAACCTCGCAGAAAGACTTTTCAGATACTACTTAACTATGTTTTGCTAATAACGTACTATTGTCAGCATAACGTATGAAACGTTGCACTGCTGAACATCTGCTTTTGAATAAACAGGCATGGGCATTCCAGTAGTCAGCCTCTAATCATCATTAGAGTATTTTTCCCATTAAATTGCTTCTGAAAAGAATGACATGCATAAATAGGGGGGCAACTTTTTTAAACAGCCTTTTACAAACCCCACCCTTAAGTTGGCTAGTACTGTAAGCAAAAAAAAAATAGCGATTTATGCTGCAGCCTCAAAGGTTTAAGGTTGTTCATCAGTAGATTCGTGACAGCTGAATCTACTACCTCTTGGGTCAGAGGTGGGTGATCCAGTAATGATGAACTAACCATGTTTAAAAGTCAGAATTAACCGCTTGCCTAGATTCCCTCTTCAGTTTCAAGCAGGACCGGGCAGGTGAATGTACAAAAGAGAGCAGCAGAGGAGGACAGTGAAGTGACAAAGTCAAGTAGAATTCAGCTGTACTGTGAGCGCTTCTTTCATTAACCTCTTTGAGATAATTGCTTCTTGTCTTTACCTCTTGGCTGAATCTCTGCTGTGTTGCCAGAGGTCTGTTTCTTGGTGCTTCGAACAGTGCCTGTACATAGCTATTGCTGTTCAAAACTGTTGTGTGGCTTTACTCAAACATAGATGCCCCCTTTGGAGCTGTAATGTTTTCTTGGAAACTTCAGAACAAGTGAATGTCAAGATTGAGTAAAGACCATAAAAGTATTTTTGAGGAATGTATCTTGACATTTTTTTTGGCAGATGGAGAGCAGACGCATACAGATTCAACACAGATATTTTACTGGCGATGTGAGAAGTGTTATTTGTTATGTTGTAGGCTTTTAGCTCTGCCAGAGCTTCTAATCACGTGTCAAATTAACAAGATGTTAAGCCAGTGTCATGGTAGCTTGCACACCATGGGTTGGATTAGGCAGAATCTGCTCCATTCTTTCAGATTGTGGATGGGAAGAGTAAAATCCTAGTGTAATTTCTAACCTCAATAAGGTAGGAGCGTGCATTTCTGGTGCAGCGGAATTGTGTGGCACTAGCACGGCGGCATCCTTCTGAAGAGGAAGTCCTCCTCCAAGACACCTGGCAGTTTGACGTTCCCTGGTCTCAAATGGTTCTGCTTAACTCCCAAGGCAAAGGGGCTGGAGGAGGTGTACCGTTAGCCAAAAAGGCTAGGAGTCCAACAGCAGCTCCCACCCTGCTTACAGCCACCCAATCTGAGCAAGTGGTGGGAAGTAATTGCTTTTATTTAACCCTCGTGAGTTTCATAATTCTGTTGCATGTCAGATCATCCATACTGTCATCCCTGCTAAAAAACAGACCCCCAGGAGTCGGTTCAGGTGGAACTGGCCTTGCAAACAGTTGTAAACTGAGATTGGTTCCGGCAAGAACCATTCACGTACTCCTCTTCCTCTGCCTTCAATTGCAATATGGTTCAAGAATGGATAAATAAGGTAATTCCTCCCCTCCCCCCCCCTAAGAAAAGAAACCCCTGCATCTTTATACCAAGGATTCATAATTTTAAAGAACCTTTACCTTCGGAACAAGGACACTCCTATTAAGCCAGAGAAGAAATGTGGAGCTCAGGATAACTTTGTAAAATTCTTTTGAAAGCTTGCTGTGTACTGTTGTACTAAAGCGTTTTGAAACTAGAAACCATCTGGATATTAATAGGAGATTTAAGACTCCCTCTTGTGGCTGCATTAAGCTGATCTTGGGCATCTGTGTGAAGATTTTGCCATCGTAAAAGTCCTAAGGCTACTTCAGTATTGCTAATAGAAACTTGGTTAGGTCTTTTGTCTCTGCTACAAAATACACTTGAACATTGTCACAACTTGATTTTTCCTACATATGAAAACTCTTGAATTCAGTATGAAGTGAGAAGAGGAAGAAAAATGGTTTGAAAACGTTCTGATCACCTCAGTCACATTTGATGTGACTTAAGGAAGTTAAGGCAGAGCCAAAGTAGAAGGAGGTGGTTGGGAAATCCCAGTGTCGATTATATTTGCTTCTCTGAATCCAGAAGGGGGGTGTCCCTGGTGCTGCGGAGAACAGGATGGCTCTGAACCTGCGGGGCCAGTGCTAGCAGTGCGACAGGCAAACGCGGGAAGCAGGTTAATTGCAATATTTAACTTCATGTAAAAGCACATTATTTCTTTTTGTTAGGAATAGACGTGACCTCACTGAATGGTTTTAATAACGCAACCTTAACCTTCTGTTAATAGTTTTATGGTTTTTCATGTGAGCCCTTCTAGCTGGGGACTTGATCTGAGTCTGCTCTAAGACACCTTCTGCATGGTTGAGTGTGGTAGAAATAGTACTTTGGCAAAGGGAGAAGATCTGAGAAAATACAGAACAGCAAACTAGAAGCAAAAAGCCTGTAGTGTTATTTTGGATATTAAGGCAGTAAATCAGCCCAGCAAGCAAAAGCAGATGCTGAAAGAGGGGTGGTTCCCAGACCCCAAGGGCAGGTCAGCAATGCAGCTAACTTGACGGTGCAGGGGTTATTCCTGGTTTTGATTTCTTTCTGCTTCAGTGACAAGCTTCTCCACTCCTTTACACGTGTTGCAAAAGCTTTGGCAAGCCTAATGCATGCATGGGTGCAGGTTCCTCTTGTGTGTGATGTCTGTGCTTGACGAGAGCGATGCAGGGAGAGCTGGCGATGAGGGGAGCTGCGTTGCCTGTGTGCTCCGAGTCTGCCTGGCTGGTCGGGAGCTGCTCCAGGCTACCACGGGGCTGGGACAGAAGCGGAAGCTGCTGGGACATGGAGAGCTTTGCTGTACCTGACTGGATCCAGGAATAAGGGCTCGAAGAAAAGAAATGAGAGCTTTTAATAAGGTAAAAGCTCTTCTATCTTGCCTGCATCCCAAGCATCTCCCCATTGCGGCTGCCCTCGCTGACAGCGAAATAGCTTAGATCACGTTTGCCTGTTGCAGATGCCTGAACAAAAGGATTCTAACCTGCGTGTTCCTGTGCTCTTGGCTGGGCTGGCAAATGCAGACGGTTCAAGTGAGTGTTACGTTCACGCTGTGTTCTGCAGCACAAAATGGTGAACGGCTTTTGCTGTTTTGATAGGGTTTAAATCAATTTCTCCCTTCTCACCAGGGGAAATGAGGGC